TCGCCATCCTTTCCTATCAAAATGCTTGCGATGGATGCGAAAACGCAGAAAATCGAACAGACGATTGTTTCGGAGGCAGTGTGTAAACATGATTGACACAACATGAGGTCGCATTTACTTTTTAAACTTGCAAAAATTTCGGACGAGAATTTCGGACTGTGTGCAAAGACCTTAAGGCTAACACTACCTGCTTTAAATGTTTCAGAATTATTAACAGCTGAAAACAATCGTTAGTAATTTAGAAAAGTAATCAGAAAGTAATCAAATATAATCAGTTAAATTACTTTAATAATGTAATTGAAATAGTTACACTTTTACATTTTGAATAGGGTAACTTGTAATCTGTAACCTGTTACATTTCCAAAGTAACCTTCCCAACACTGCTTTTCAGCATTCACTATCTTGATGAAGGACAGTATGAACTATGCCGATATAGGGAGGTTAGTCAAGCATAAAGCCAATTTAGTTTAGTTTAGTTCAACTTTATTGTCTGGCCTTAGCTGAAGATTAATCTGTGGTCTTGCTGTACATACAATAATGACAATACATAAACTCCCACAACATACACAGGGCACATTTACGTATAGAAGTATTAAACATATAGTATAGCAGAGATACTGGTTTTACCGATTAATTGCTGGCACTTCTTTTTTGGCATTAATCAACAGGGATAGTCAAGTGCTAGAAGATTAAAGTGCCCCTATTATGCCATTTTAAGGTTCCTAATATTGTTTTGGGAGTCTCCTACAATAGGATTACATGCATGCAAGGTCAAAAAATGCTTTAATTTTCTCAAAATACGCATTTAATATCACCTCATTTTCCAGCGATTCTCAAACGATTCGTTCAAAGCAGTTCTAAGTTTCAGCCTCTCTAAACCCCTCCTTTCCGTGAGCCTGCTCTGTTCTGATTGGTCAGATGGCCCAGTCTGTTGTGATTGGTCTACAGCATACAGTGGTGTTGGAAACGATACACCCATTGCCATAGTTCCGTATTTTGAACGCACGATAGAAAATATAAACATTTATTATTTATCATACTTGTGATTCAGTGGAGCTATTACGGGGCGAACGAGACGAGAGACGTGCAGATCCATGTGCAAGGCTTTATTTACAAAGGCATGGTCAATAAACAGGCAAGGGTCAGATAACACAGGTACATATCACAGGCAAGACCAAGAATATTCCAAGGGCTAGCGTGGGTCTTCGATAGGCGAACAGTATCCAGAGGGCTTGACAAGAGGGGTAATCCAATAACAAGAGCAATAGTTCAGGCGAGGTGCAAACACAGTCCGAAACAGCAAGACAAAGGGTTAATCCAAGAAACACAGGCAGAAGGTCAGGAAACAGACAACAAGGCAGCACTAAGTGGCTAGACTAAGACTAGAACTAGAACTAGGATCGGGAACTAGGAATGGCTCCGTAATGCAGCTATCGCTAGAAGAATGATATGCGTTAAACAATACTCGGCAGTTTGAGAAGGATCTGAGTGAGTGTAATATCGTGTGTGTGTGATTGGTTACAGCTGTGTGCAATCAGTGCAGTGGATGATGGGAAATGTAGTCCGTGGTGACGTGTAACAGTTTGTGTAGTGAAAGAGTCTATATGATGGACGAGTGACCTCTGGTGGCGATCGGACGGAAGTTCATGGACAGGATTCGTAACAGGAGCCAGCTGGTCCAAATAAACAGGATACTGAGCCATCTTTCAAGAGCAAGCGCTTAGTGAATCCTGCGTTGAACTCCCCGAGATTAGAGAAGCAGTCGTCAGTAAAATGACGTGTTTGTGGGCGGGGTCAAGTTGTTTGCTGCCGGCCAACATAGAACATAGGCGGGAATTATGCAAATGTGTTACCCAGTGACGTGTAGCCATCATGGAAGTGGGGTTCGAATTACTAACGACTCATTTAGGCTGTAGAGAGTCAATTCTTTATTTTTAGAGACAATAACTTTATTTATCGTGCACCTTCGGCTTTACAGCTTTGCTGATCGTTTACATTCACATACAGCTACATTACACACTGCATGAAAGGCAATATTGGAAATGGCATAATAAGGGCACTTTAAGTAAAAATTTCGAAATTTCACCTGTAAAATTTGTATTATTTGTAATTGGGCTCGAGACCGGTGAGTGGTGCAGGTGTCGCTCATTATCAATTACTCCACCGGCCTCGCTCCGTTCCCACGGCTCTCGGCCCCGCCCCCACTCGTCACAGGGAGCATTTCTTTTTTATATTTAGTTTTATTTATGTTATTTGGAGTGTTACTTTCCAGTTCAGTTTGAGTGTGTCTGTATTTTTTTCTATTTATTTTAATATCTTTTAATTAATAATTGTAAAACATTTTCCTGGGTACGTTGTTTATCAATTTTGTAAGTTTAGCACTATTTTAAATTGTGTGGAAAATTATTTTTATGTACTTTAAAAAACTCAATAAATTAGTTATCAGCCTGTTTTTTCACCTTAGTTTTTGGCATCAACAAATTAAAAAGGCAGTGGCTATTTGCACAAGCAATAGCAATAGATGCTATTTACTCTAAGTGCAAATATCAGTAGATGCTATTTACACTAAGTGTAAATAGCCATAGCTTTTATTTACACTATGTACAAATAGCAGTATTTTCTGCTATTTATACCACTTATTGCAAATAGTGGCAAATATATCTGCACCTCGGTATTGTAGTATTGTATAATAAAACACTATGCAAAAAAATATATATATTGTGTGTAAATTAAAGATGCTGACTTATTGGGACAATAAAGCCCTCCCTACACCTAACCCTACCCGATACTTCATTTTCAACTTTTACATTTTTTTCCTTTATTTTTATAAAAAAAAAAATAAATGCCTTTCCGATGTGATATGAGATGTGAAAAGGGACAAGAAAGAGTTCGGCAAAAGGCGGATTCGAACTTGGGTCGATCGCGTCAAAAAGTCTGCACTACACATTTTACCACTTACTTTATTTTTATAAAAAAAAAAAAAAATGCCTTTCCGATGTGATATGAGATGTGAAAAGGGACAAGAAAGAGTTCAGCAAAAGGCGGATTCGAACTTGGGTCGATCGCGTCAAAAAGTCTGCACTACACATTTTACCACTTAAGCCACTGGAGCTTTTTTTGACAGCCATCTTTTGTAATGTTGTCTAGCCCAACCACATGTTGGTGGGCGGAGTTAGTGTAAATAGACTCTACAACAAGGCAGGCGATTTGCACTTAGTGTAAATAGACACTCAGAATTAGGCAACCTTGACTAAATTGGTGCAAATTTCCATTTTGTTGAATTGGTAAAGAATTTGTATGAATTTGTCTCATTAGCTACATATTCAGATTGTATGTATTCAAACAAATTCACCACCAACTCACAAATGTTTTTTAAATAAACCTTGATTTAAATTGATATCAGTCACAATATTAGGGAAGAAATGCAAAAAAAAAAAAAGTGCTAGAAAAGGTGTAGAATATCCCCGCTTTAAATAAAAATGCTACTGGTTCACTTTAGCTTACTATATGTCAATGTAATTTATTTGTTATTCACATATGGGTTCATGATTGTTGCTGTATCAGAGGACAGATCACATTCTTGTCGTCGTCTACCATTACCACATAAATCAATGGAGAGATGTTAAACTCAGTCTGTTTCTCTGTCAGTCACGGGCCTCTGTTTAAAGGTCCCTCTCTTTTTTCTTCCATATTCTTCCAGGGCAAAAGCCCATCAATGTCTTTTAACCTTTGACTGCTCAGAGATTGTGTCTCTACCCCTGAGATGAACTTTTGGAGTTATAAACAAAAGCAAGACAGGCAAGAAAAGCTACTGGCTGTCCTTTCTCTTTCCCCTTACTGACTGGACAGTCTGTATACTCTGTTTTGGCTATTTCAACTGAATTCAGAGGGGTTTGTCTTTCTTTATTTCATCAGTAGTTGGTTGTGTTATGGGCACTGTTTCATATCCTATCATTGACAGGTGACAGACAAAGTGCAATGTAAGAGCAACTGAAGAACTATTGGGAAAAACAAAAGCATCCATTTTGAAGTTTACTGAACAGTCTGCACCTGAACCTTCAGAAAGCTTTTCTTGCTTTGACTTTTATAAAGCCTTTCCAGTTCCAGAAGTTAGAAATTATGTTTACGTTAAGTGTAAATACACTACTGTTGAACAGATGTTTTTTTTAATTTTTATAAATAAATACTTTTATTCAGCAATGACACGTTAATTTGATAAAAAATGACAGTAAAGACACATATGATGTTTCACTTCTATTTTAAATAAATGCTATTCATTTGAACTTTCTATTCAATGAAGAATCCTGAAAAAAAATCACAGTTTGCTAAAAAATATTAAGCAGAACAAAATGTTTTCAACCCTATGAATTAAATGTTTCATGAGCACCAAATCAACATATTTTTATGATTTCTGAAGGATCATGTGACACTGAAGACTGAAGAAATGGCTGCTAAAAATTCAGCTTTAGCATCACATGAATAAATTATATTTTAAAACATTAAAACAAAAAACAGTTATGTCAAATTATTATAATATTAAACAATATTATTGTTTTTACTGTATTTTTGATCATATAAAGCAGCCTTAGTGAGCATAAGAGACTTGTAAAAAATATTACCAAAAGTTTGAATGGTAGTGTATAATTTTTTTTTTAAATCATGCTGGGATTTGGGGGGAAACAGTTAAAATACTTGGAAGATTTCTAAATTTAGGCTAATGCAAAACCGTTATCAGTTGTGCCATTGGCAGTGATCATGTTATGTAATTTTGGCATTATGGAAAATTTTTGTTTTAAATAGGTTTCCTGTCAAACTTGTTGCTGTAATTTAAATTAAACGTGTTATTTTTTATTTCTTTTTTTAAGCAATGTTTGTATTAGTATTATTATTTGTAAAGTGTTATTAAAAGTACAATTTGCTGTAAATGTATATTAATTTTCAATGTCTCTGTTGTCCTTAATGATGGGCACAATACTAATGTATGTTTACACCCTTCACAGCTCTCGTCCAGGTCGCCCACCGAAGCGTTCCTATGGGGCCGATGTGCAAGAAAGCCCCAGAATCCTCCACCACAGAGCAAACAACCTTCTGTCTCCAGCCCTGCTGTCACCCACAGGTAAACGCAAGCGTACAAACACCCGTCTCGTTTTTCACCACGTTCTGTGTGCTGTAAATTTAGATGAGCCTCAATTTTCTCACTCACAGCCCCCTTCAACACATATGAAAAGTATATGCTTAAATCACTCCCTCCTCTGCTGTCCTTCTGCTCATCTTTCATTCTCTCTCCCTTTCTGCCGCTCTGTTCAGTCATCTTTCATGCACCTTCTTTTACGGGTGACAGTGATGAATGACACACCCCAGCGGGATCACTCATCCATCTGTTCATCCCTCTCTGTTTCCCTCTTCCTCTCACTGGCCAGAAGCCTCACATCCCCCGTCCTTGCTTCTCATCTCTACTGTATCACATTGGGAAGGGTGGATGCTGAAAATGTGCTGAAATCTGCCCCAAGAAATGTCTTATTTCTGCCAGAATCAGGAGTGTAGCAATGATTATACCTGCAAGGGGACATGTCCTTCCCACTTTTAGACAATTATGGCTAATTCTCAGGAAACAGCGACTTTTTGCCAGATAATGTCTGGAAAATATAATTAACTTTTTTTTTTTTATACTGTATTTTTACTTTTTTATCATGTGAAAAAGTAACTACTTAACTTTCAAGAAATCATATTTTCCCACCTCAGATCCAAAATACCTGGGCATTAACCATCATAGACATCGTTTTTATGACCTATTTTTAAACTGTGATCCCATATGTGGGTATACCAGTAATTATTTATGATTACTAGCCTTAAGACGTAAAGTTTCAACCATCACAATAAGTACAGTTAGTCTTACTGTATTATATATATAATATATATATATATATGTTTTATTTTTATATTTTATAGTTTTTATTTTAAGTTTGAGGGATTTTGTGTGCTTTTGTAATTTTATAATTTTTTATTTCTATTTCGCTTTAAATTATTTTTATTTTATTTATTTCATTTTTAGTTTGAGTTCTTTTTAAATACTTCAGTTTCAACCTATTTTATCTAACCTATTTGTCAAGGCAACATTTCTAACCTTCGTCTAATTTCTCATCAAGGTTATCATCTAATATTCATATTTATATTATATTTCAGCTTCATTTCATTTAAATAAAATTATTTTAATAGTGCTAGTTTTAATTTTATTTAACAGTAATAACACATTACATTATTTACACAGCTTTTGTATAAAAAATACACTCTAAAAAACCCCCCCCTTTCTTTATTTAGCTTGATGAGGCCAGTATAAGTGTAAACAATAATAACCCGTTTCACTGTGGTCAAAAAATAGTCACTCCCATAAATATGATGTCAGAGAGATCAACATTTTTAAGACTTTACTTTAAGACCTTTAAAAATAATTCGCTATATACAGTACTGTATGCTTATCAGCACATGTGTATGTGTACAGTAATGGCGCTGCAAAAAGTATTCCCTCTCTCTCACACACACAAAGTTGTGGGGTCACCATGGAGGATGCGCTAGACTTGCAGTGATGTTCTGCCGTGTTTGAGCAGTTACCGTGGAGATGTCACTTAGAGTCTTGGCATCGTCAAGTGCCAGATGTCAGGACTCGTTAGGAATGAGAGCAGGGCAGTTTGCTTTGATTTGCCAAGTGCTCAGTCATTGTTTGGGGCTATTACAGTTGGGTAAAAAAAAAAAAACATGGTGAGTGAATCAGTGATTATATTCTAACAGCAACATACAACAGGCCAGAAAACACAATGGAGACATGACAGTATTTTGCTTTGCATTTTGTTTGCTTAGAGAAGAAAGAAAATCAGAAATGAGTTTAATATCTCTTAGAGTTGTTTCTCTTAGACAGAAACTAGAATGCTTTTCAGATTGTTTACCTGAGAGAGTGAAAAAAGACAAGTGTAATCTCTGTTTCGCTTCAGAAGTGATCTGAACAATGTCTCAAACTGTGCTCAGATTTGCCAAGATACAGTGCAATCAAATGTCAGAGATTTCAGTATGATACATTTTTTCTCTCTCAGATTAGGTAAGTAAAATTTGACTGACATTCATTTAAATCTTTCATTTTCATATTCTTTAATCTACAACTGCAGCAAATTGGCCTTGTTGGCATGTTTTGGAATTTTCTGGATTGTTTGTCACTTAGGGCAATGACAGACAGCAGGGGGTGGTGCCAAAAGACGCAGAGGAGAGGAAAGGAAAGGGGGGAGATACAAGTATTAAAGTTTCATTTAATAGGTTATAAAGATGTGTTTACACACATGCAATAGCTCCAAGCTACCTTAAAGAAAAAGGCTTTTATATATACACTACCATTCAATAGTTTGGGTTTGGTAAGATTTAATGGTCACACTTTATTTTAAAGCCATTAACAAACCATTAACTTCAACTTTTGCCTCAATAAACTCCTAATTTGTTGCTCATTAATAGTTAGTAAGGTAAGTTTAGGTATTGGGTAGGATTAGGGATGTAGAATATGGTCATGCATTTGCTAATAAACAGCCAATATGTTATTAATAAACATGCTAATAAGTAACTAGTTAATAGTGAGAATTGGTCCCTATAGTAAAGTGCTACGTTTATTATTATTATTTAAAAAATAATAATAATATATTTTTTACATGTTTTTGAAAAGTCTCTTATGCTCATCATGCATGCAACTGTTGAGAAAAAAAGTAAGACAAAAATTGCAATATTGTAAAATATTATTACAATTTAAAATAATTGTTTCGTATTTGAATGAAAATGTAATTTATTCCTGTGATGGTAAATGTTCAGCATCATTATTCTAGTCTTCAGTGTCACATGATCCTTCAGAAATCATTCTAATTTGCTGATTTGCTGCTCAAAAAACATGTCTTATTATCAGTGTTGAAAACAGAATTTATTTGACATAGAAATCTTTTCCAACATGATAGTTGTGTTTATTGTCACTTTAACCAATTTAATGCATCCTTGCTGAATAAAGTAGTCATTTCTTTACAGAAAAAAAAACTTACTGACCAAAAACTTTTTAATACAGTATATGTTTGTGTATATGGCTGAGAATTTTCTCTGTACCTGGAATATTTCACCCAAAAATGATAATTCTTCATTCCAAACCTAAATATGGAATGCAAATGGAGATATTTTGCGGAATGTCCAAGCTGTTCTTTTCCATAACAAAATTGACCTTGTGATTTGCATTATTGCCAAGCTCAAAATATTACAAAAAGTACCATAAAGTAGTCTGTGTAACTTGTGTGCTTTAAGTTCTCCAAAAACTTTAAGTTACAGTGTTCTAAGTTGTATCGTAACTGTGAGTTACAGACAATACATGTTTTTTGGAGGAACTACTCCTATATTTGTGAGCTGCATCAAACAAGCTCAGTTTCACAGCTCATTTTTTAAAAGCATGTTTTTTGTATAAATGTACATATAATCTTTACTATTCTCACGTTTTGTGTGGCTGTGACTTTGTTTCTGCTATACCGTAAGAGCTCAAGGAATAGAGTTCCCCCCTCTGGACAATCTCACTTCACATGAACGATCGCTTTCCTTCTTGTCAAACAGCTTACGTAACTCACCTCAAGTCTCTGAAGATTGTTTTTCCCATGAGTCCACAGCGAAGCTCATGCAACAGCTGTATACTAGATTTAGACCGTCAGCATTTACATAGAGATGTTAAAGTCATGATTAGCCTAGCAGTCAATGCTCTCCTGAGGGAATATGCCGGCTCTTTACTTGTGTCTTTGGGTGTGTGAGTGTTAATGGTCCATTGTTTTTCTCCTTATCAGCAGTCAGCTTGGGGAAACCAAGGCCAGAGCTCTTTGCCTGGCTAATTGTGCTGCTGGTGGGAGGAGTTTAAAGTGATCGATTGGCAGATGGCTATTTCTTGGACTGCTTCCATGATATGCTTATATAAATAATGCAGTCCAGCTAACAGAGAGCTAATTCAGGTCCCTTATCTCACTGTGACCCTCCAGTTGCTCTGACTAAACCCTGCTGCTGATGACAACATCCATTTACTGTCAACTAAGGAATTTATTGCTGTAACTTTTAGGCTAATGTGCTTCATAAATAGCACATCTCTTAACAGCCTGAAACCAGTGTTTTAAGGTATTCAAAACCAAAAAGTAAAGGCTTTTTTTCATTGTTGTCTTACAGTAAAACCCTTACTAGTCAAATGTTTGGTATAATTAAGCTTTTTTAAAAAACACACACACACACACACACACACACACACACACAATGGACACCTTTAGAGTTACAGTGTTGTGTAATGAAAAATCTGAATTATAATGAGAGAGGGAGCAATTTAACATCAATCACTAGTCCAGAGAATTGACTGTCTGTCACTAATCAATACTTTTTTTTGATGGCATCCAGGGGAAACCAAGGCCAGAGCTCTTTGCCTGGCTAATTGTGCTGCTGGTGGGAGGAGTTTAAAGTGATCGATTGGCAGATGGCTATTTCTTGGACTGCTTCCATGATATGCTTATATAAATAATGCAGTCCAGCTAACAGAGAGCTAATTCAGGTCCCTTATCTCACTGTGACCCTCCAGTTGCTCTGACTAAACCCTGCTGCTGATGACAACGTCCATTTACTGTCAACTAAGGAATTTATTGCTGTAACTTTTAGGCTAATGTGCTTCATAAATAGCACATCTCTTAGCAGCCTGAAATCAGTATTTTAAGGATTTATTCAGATGATGTATAAATCTCAATTTTGAAAAATTGACACGTAAGACTGGTTTTGTGGTCCAAGGTCACATATAAATACAAGTCGATTGGCAGATGGCTATTTCTTGGACTGCTTCCATGATATGCTTATATAAATAATGCAGTCCAGCTAACAGAGAGCTAATTCAGGTCCCTTATCTCACTGTGACCCTCCAGTTGCTCTGACTAAACCCTGCTGCTGATGACAACGTCCATTTACTGTCAACTAAGGAATTTATTGCTGTAACTTTTAGGCTAATGTGCTTCATAAATAGCACATCTCTTAGCAGCCTGAAACCAGTGTTTTAAGGTATTCAAAACCAAAAAGTAAAGGCTTTTTTTCATTGTTGTCTTACAGTAAAACCCTTACTAGTCAAATGTTTGGTATAATTAAGCTTTTTTAAAAATGTTTTTGAAAGAGTCTCTTATGCTCTCCAAAGCGGCATTTATTTATTAAAAAATTCAGTAAAAACGGGAATATTTCCAAGGTCACATATAAATACAAGAACTGCTTTCTATTTGAATATATATTAAAATGTAATTTATTCCTGTGATGGTAAAGCTGATTTTTTTTTTTGCAGTGATTGCTTAAGTTATCAGTGCCACATGATCTTTCAGAAATCATTCTAATGTTCTGATTAATATTCTGGTGCTCATTTATTACTAATTATTATTAGTGCTTAAATATTAGTAATAGTTCTGATTCAATGTTGAAAACCATTTTTAATGCTTAATATATTTGTGGCAACCGTGATACGTTCAAAGTTCAAAAGCACTTGAAATACTTGAAATAGAAATAATTGTAACATTATAATTGTTTTTACTGTAACTTTTGATCAGCTTAACACACCCTCTTTTTTTTTTGACGGTTACTTACCGGTTGACGGTTAATTACCGTCAAACTTTCGAGTAGTAGTGTATCACAGTTCCCACAATATGTTAAGCAACAAAAACTCTTTTCAAATAAATGATCACATTTTTTGATCAAATAAATGCAGCCTTGGTGAACATAAGACACTTCCTTCGAAAGCATTATTATCCCAAACTTTTCACCGATAGTTTATATCTGCATAATAGATTTGGATGGAAAATTAATCTTGAATTTTTTGGCATTTGATTAGAGAAAATCATGGCAAATTTGAGCTCAGTTTGGGATTGAGATTTGAGATTGTTGATATGTCTAATAAAACTGTTGAGGAGACACAATTGAAGGTGTCTCCATTTGATTACTCCATTGCTGTATGGGAGAAAGTGTGAGACAGTTGTTTGTGTTTGTGATTGTTCTTGAATGTATTGCAGGTCTAACAACAGCTGCCATGGCTGAAGCTTTGAAGATACAGAAGATGAAGATAATGATGAATCTACACAAGACCCACAACGGCTCAGAATTCGATTCAGATGAGCTCAACACTAATACAGGTACAGGGCTTGTGCTTACACGATTTGTTTGTTAATGTGTGTTTGTGTTCCTTTAAGGCAGCTTGTTTAAAGTGCAATCTAGATGTGCCAGACAGATGGCCTTGCAATAGTAGTAACCTGGGCCTTTTGGGTGAGATGAGCCCCATCACGGAGCTCGCTCAGGGGGCCCATGTTGCAGGGTTGTGCTTGGTTTACGGAGACTAATGGTGACATTAATGACTGCTGCCTGACTGTGCATTTAGAGAAGACCAACAACAGACAGAAGAATAGTTAATCGTACACCAGCCCTTGAGATGAAACAAGACATTTGCTGCAGGGGTGCATGTGTTTGTGTGTGTGCATACAAGCCAAGCAAAATTAGAAAATGTGTAAATGGATAATGTTGCATTTGTACAGTATTTTTGTGTGTACATGCATAAGTAGAAACAAAATTTGTGGATGATGCAAAGCATTTTAAAAAGTGTGCAACTTATCTGGCTTTTCTGATTTAACTTATTATTTAATTTTATATTTAAAAAAAATATTTTGTCTCTATTTATTTTAATATTTATATTTATTATATTTGATTTTATGATAGCAAATGTGAAATGCATAAAAATAAAATAAAATAAAATATAACATAATATAATAAACAAAAATATAAAAATATATATATATATATATATATATATATATATATATATATATATGATTCATAAAAAATTTATATTTAATTATACACCATTAAAAACAGTAATAGTATTAAATATTACAATTTAAAATAATGTTGTCTATTTGAATATATTTTAAAATGTAGTTTATTTATGTGGTGGCAAAGCTGAATTTTCAGCATCATTACTCCAGTCTTTAGTGTCACATGATCCTTCAGAAATCATTCTAATATGCTGATTTGCTGCTGAAAAATATTACTTGTTATTGTCAATGTGTGCTGCTGCTGATATTTTGTGTGGTGTATATTTTTTTCAGGATTCTCTGATAAATAGAAAGTTCAAACGACAAAAAGGAACTTTTCACTTCTGTTAGTGTTTGCACTCAGCAGTATTTGCTAGACAGATTTTTTAGGCATCACATAAAAATGTCAAAACAAAAAAATGTCTTCAAACACAGCAGCCATATACTAACTGTGGCTAAAACTAACATAGATAATGTGGACTTCAAAAGCCATTCTCACAAGAGTTTAGGAGGAAGAGAGCACAGCATTCCTAGAGAGAACAGCTGTGGACAAGCATAATTTAGGAGAGAAGAAAAAACGGCCTTCATCAGAAAGATGGAATGCAGTCAAGGAAAATCAGCATCAAGGATGACATCAGAAGAGCGGAGAGAAGCAGCAAGAGATACTTTTTTCCCCCTGCGTTGACGAGTTGAAAGAAAAATTCCATGCATTATTTAACAAGATGGCCGAAACCTGTCATACGGGTGATTGCCTGCGTTAACAGAAACAGGTGTGCGCTGTGTGTGTGCATACGGGTGTATGTTAGCACATGTGTGCTTGTTTTCACGTCCGCGTGCGTTTAGCAGGGAACTCGTGTATAGTGTAACGCACACATTATCTGTTTGCCCCTCTTTCCCTGTGGTCAACATTTTTGTATCTTCACCCGTCCACCCCCTTTCCCTCTCATCTTGTCTGTTTGAAGTTGCTCTCATTTTTAAGATGCTGTTTAAATCAGTGGTTTTTGTTTTTTTTGTGCAGCCAATGTGTGTGTTTGTTTTGGTGAGAGCAAACATGTAGAAACACACAAATCTCTTCTAGTTGACTTTTAAAGCATTTCTCACTTGATCAAACAGTCTAGACAAGCTGACCATCTGGTGTTTATTAATTACTAGGATACAAATTACTGTAATTAATTACTGGCCAAAAATACTCAAAAGTGAGCAATAACCATTTTCATTAGACAGTTTTGACCTTGTCATCATGGCTCATTTTTTCTCATAACAGCACATACACTAAACCTAACCTATAGTGTTAACTAAATAAACGCGATATAAAAATGCATTTGCTGAAGCAACCATGTCATTTTAGCTGGCTTCTACAAATCTTTGAGCCGTTTTATCGAGTCTCGTGGCTCATTGGACTAATACTTGATTGCTCCACATCAAAAATGCAGTGCTTTACCAGGTGAGCTACCGAGCAGCACAATATTTACTACGTCAAAAAAGCCATACACATGGAGCTAGTTATGTGACACAAACATCAAAATATATTAGTTTACAAATCATGCTTATGGTAAAAGTGTGTTTACTGTCATAAAATAGTAGTGTGCAAGAAACCACATAAAACAAGTCTTCATTAATAACTAATCTGTCCCTGTACACTCTTCTGCCATAGAAGAACATTTTTTTGTTAAAGAACCTTTAACATATGAAGAACCTTTCTGTTTCACAAAAGGTTCTTTGTGGCGAAAGAAGGTTCTTCATATTATAAAAAGGTAAGAAAGAGATGGTTCTTTAAAGAACCTTTGACTGAATGGTTCTTTGTGGAACCAAAAATGGTTCTTCTATTGCATTGCCCTTTTTTTTATTTTATTTTTTTTAAATGTAATGGACGTTTGGCCTATTTCATCATCCATCAGGTGAAAATGATCTGTCTAAAATTACAAGCACAAAATAATAGGTATCTTGAATAACATGCACTTATGAATCACACATAATAAGACCAGGAATGTTTATTAAAAAAAAGAAAATATTGATTTCATGTTGACATTTCGCAGAAAGATCTGCCATCGTACAATGAAAAAAAAAATTGGAGTAGAAACAACTCTGACATTTTTCTTTTACTTGGAAATTGCTAGTAAATTTCACAAATAATTACAGAAAACTGCAAGTAACTCATTGAATTTCTAAGTATAAAGAGTGAAATAGTCATTTATTGTAAAACATACTCCAGTAATCTTTGTTTTATTTACAACTTTCGAAAACCATTTTACAGTGTATTTCTCTTTACACCAGCTCCTTTCAGAATATCAGTAATCCAAAGCAAGCTGTTCTAGACATCCGACCAAAAGCTGAAAGCCATTTCTATTTGAGTACTTGACACAGGAGAATATACCGTATGCACGTGTGTGTACGTGTGCATGTTTGTGTTTGTTTTAGTGTGTTTCGCAGCACAGCTGCAGCTCGTGTTGTCTCTGATTGCTCTTGCTTTCCCTCCTCTCATCCATCTTCATCTGTCTGATTACTGTGAATTAGCGCCTTCTCACTTACGTTAGAACTCCAGTCCCACAAGATATGTGAGCTCGTGTTGACACTAGTCTTGATTTCCACGGACGTGCAGATTGTCGCCCAGATGGCCGCTCTATTGTACAGTATTTATGTCATGGTGAAGGGCCCAGGTTGCGAAGCTGCCGTGGTGTTGTAATGTATCTGCAGTGTTGGGTTGTGTCGTAATGAGGGAGCTTATTGTTTTTAATCAGGTTATTTTTGTCCGGTCGTGTGAAGACCTTATTGGTTGGAGCATGTGATATTCTTAAGGGGACTGACTTCATCCTGCGCTATCATTGATTCCTTCGCCACAAATCTGCCACCTAAACACCATCTGCTCCCAATGGCACTGACATGAATACTGATGATAGATTATCAGTTCAGTTCATTGTAGCTGCTGGTCGCTGGGCAACTTACATTTTATTGTTTCCGTTTTTTCATTCAAGGTAATGAGATATGCCCATTCTATAGTATTCTGCTCACTTATTTGGGGGATTCCATTCTAAGTTAATTTGTCTAAGCATATTTGTGTGTGAATGTGTACAGTATGTGGTTAAATGTGCACTTAAAGCTAACCTAAAGCAATGAATAGTACTTTTAACAAACTTTAGTCATAGTAATTTTTGGTTCAAAGAATGCTTGCGAATAGGATAGTTCTACAGCAACATCCACACCAGTAGGTGTCAGTATGAAGTTTAAAGCCACTTAAAAAACAGTTTATGTATATATGTATATATTTTACCCATGTTACTAAATTCTATATATTGTTATAATTGTGTATTTTAATAGAGTTAAACATGTATCTTGCTTTGCTTAGTCATACTATAGTTTAGACTAACTTCAGTCAGTTAGAATCAATTAAATAAACTGAATCTGTGAATCTGAATTGATTTTTTTTTTTACATACAGTACATATATACATCTATATATTAATATGGAAATCAATAAACATTAAAACTATATGTAACTTCAAAAAGGTAGACACTGCAAACACTGCAAAATGTAAAAATATATCAATACAATATGAATATATGTTCAAATATAAAAGCTATGTTATATGTTCGCTATGTTAAAACCTAAATGCATGTTAAAACCTACAAACTACCTATATTGTGAATATTTCATATTTCATATTCTTTTATCATTAAACAGGATGTAGCGCTTTGTCCTGGGAGAGAGAGAAGTATTCATCACCTGCTTCAGAGAAAACACAGCACAGCTTGAGCAACTCTCAGCTCAACTCTCTCCAACACACCCATCTACTGGCCAACAGTGAGCATTAACCATTCACTTTCACACCCTGATGTGTTTAAAGAGATCATAAAATTAAAATTCTGTCAGTAGCTTCTCACCCTTATGTCGTTTCAAACCTGTATGACTTTCTATTTACAGTTACTGGGACAATTAATGGGGACTGGAGCATTCAAGCTTAATATGCAAAAGCATCATAAAAGTAGTCCATATGACTAAATTTCAAGTCTAATCTGAAGCCATACAATAGATTTTTGTGATAGACTGACTTAAATGTATGTAGTTATACCATGATTCTTTCTTCTTCTCATAGGACTGGACCTGCCCTTCATGATGATGCCCCATCCCCTGCTTCCTGTTGGACTTCCTCCCACCTCTGTTGCCATGGCAATGAACCAGATGAACCACCTTAATACAATTGCCAACATGGTTGCCAGTGCACAGGTGCACAGCCCCGTCTCCAGGCCGACATCTGCCATCAAGGTAGGACATACTGTACAGACCAGATACTAAAACACACAGCTCTTTTGCTGCAAGGTCATCAGGGCCTGTTCACACAATTCTAGCTTGAGTTTATTTATTTGGAGTCATTTAAGGCAATTTGCTGGTCCACTTGGTCCAAAGGGGTCTAAACTGCTTTAGGTAATCAAAGGTCAGGTGGCTTTCAGAGACCTGTTTTAGGTTGTTAACCATGTTCCTTGTTTCTGCCACGTAATGAAAAAAGAGAGAAAAGAAAGAAAAGGTAATTGCTACTTTTTATCTCACAATTCAAACTTTTTTCTAGCAAATTTGTTTGTTTGCTTGGAATTCTGAGTTTACATCTTGGCATTTTGAGTTTACATCTCGCGGTAATTGCGACTTTTTCTCCTCAGCAATTCTGAGTTCATATCTCATAATTAGTCACAAAAATAATTCAGAATTGCAAGATATAAAAGCAGAATTGTGAGGGGAAAAAGTGAGAATTGACAGATTTTTTTTTATCCTGTGGCAGAAAACAAGCTTCCATAGCTTACTAGCCTTACCACAAATCTGAATCTGAAAAAAAGTTTTTATTTTATGACAAATCCTTAACGATGATGTGAACCTTAGGCAAGCTGACTCAGATAAACTAGGTCAATGAAGATGTGTTGTCATGTGGGGAGAGTTTATTTAGGTTTGCAGGACTGAAGTCTCTTTTTTTTTTCATTTCAGCAGGAGTGTTTTGACGAGAGCCCCTCTCTGACACCATCCGTAGATGGGAATGTTCCTCAGAAAACTGAACCCTCACCTCAACTAACCAGTTCAGTTCCCAGCAGCCCCACACAGCCTTACACACACTCTCCTCAAAAAACACCCTTGAGTTTGAGTGAGTGAGTTTGCATATTAAGTAGGGCTGTCAGTTGAATTAATGACATAATAACATGCAATTAATTACAGTTATTAATTAAACAATCATCAATCTCTGCTGAGCGAATCTCACAAATGAACATACACTAAAAGTTTGGGGTGATTAAAAAAATATGTTTATCAGCCTGGTAAGCACATTTTTACCCCTAAATATAACACCATTCATTTATACAGTTGTCTTCAAATACTACAACTTAGATGTTGGGGGGGGGGGAAAGAAATGAATACTTTTTTTTCAGCAAGGATGCATTAATTTGACCAAAATTGACAGTACAGATATTTAAAGGGCTACAATATATTTCTATTTGGCAGCGGCTATTTGCACAATTAGATGATTTTTACACTAAATGAAAAAATCATATTTTCTTAGCGATAGATGGTATTTACACCTTACCAAACACAATGTGCTATACCAATCCATATGTGGTTTCTGAATGTTAGTGTATTTACAGAGACCCAGTTACTGTGGTTAGCATCTTCATCTTGAAGTGTGATATTACTGTTGTTTCATAATATCTTGCATATAATGTCCATAGAAAACAACATTATATGATTTACATTGAGGAAAAAATGTTAGACTAATCAACGAGGCTTGCAATGACTCTGCTGCATACACAATAACAACACAAAGCAATATATGTTGGCAATAGTCTGTGCTTCTCTGAAACTTCTTGTTTCATTTATCTGCTGTCTTTATATATGTCTTTCTCTCTCTGTAGCATATGATGTTCATGATGAACAAAGCGAGAAAGACTCAACTCTGCATATGAACAGACTTTCCAACGACAGGGGTGAGTTTCCTTCACATAAACGAAATTTTATAAAAAATTAAATTTAATATAACATAACATTACAGAAAAGCCTCTCCTCTGACCTCTTCTGCTCTCATTATAGTTCAATTATTGCACAGAGCCACTATATTGCATTGAGTTTAGTTGGGTGATGTAATGGTATGTTGTAATGGGATATTCTAGTTTCTATATACAAGTAATCTCAAAACAATTAAAATAATATGCTCATGCCTGGCTTCATCCTGTACTAGCAAATGTATAAAAAGCATAAATCGACATACAGATTCTACATTCTAAAAATTTAGGATCAGTGAGTTTTTTTTTTTTTAATAAATTAAATTAAATGAATACTTTTATTCAACAAGGATGTATTAAACTGACCAAAAGTGTCAGTGAAGACATTTTTAATGTTACAATAAATTAGATTATAAATAAATGCTGTTCTTTTGAACTTTCTGAAGACTGGAGTAACGGCTGCTGAAAATTCAGCTCTGCCATCACAGGAATAAATTACATTACAATGCAATATAATGTTAAATCAGTTATTATAAGTCATAATATTCGTAATATGACTGTTTCTATTGTATTTTTAATCAAATGAATGCTGCCTTGGTGAGCATAAACAATTAACTTTCAAAAACATTAAAAAACCCAATGCCCTCACTCAAAAAGAACAACCAAAAGCTAAAAGAACAGGGATTTTCTGTAGATTTATTAACTGATGTAACTTAAATTATAACTACCGGTATATATTAAGCATATTCTTCAAAAAGAAAAAAAGTTCTTATTTGCTGAAAATCTTACCCTCCTTTGTAGCTTATAAATCACATCTGAGACTAGTGTTATTTTAGTATCATTGACACGCTAGTATAGTACAGTTTTTGTTACATATTTTAATTGATTTTTATTTTAATATTTTCTTACAATTTTTATATATTTTTTAAATGTCTATACAGTTTTTTATTATAAATTTTTTATATCAGTTTAAGTTTAAATTGTAGTACATCAGGTTAAACTAAATGAAAATGAGAAATGTTGCCTTGCCTACTAGCTGCAATTTTACATAACGTTTACTTTATTCCAATTAATTTTTTTTATGATTTTAGTTTTGGTTAACTAATAACTCTGTATGAGACTGAGTAAATGACAGAATTTAAATTTATAGCTAAACTATTCTTTTAACAGTCAGTTGATCAGTTGAATTCATCCCTTTGTTTGTTTATTATTTCACAGTTGAACAAAATGCAGTGAAACCAACAATCTTTGAGAAGGTCCCAGCTCAAGCATTGTCCTCTGGCTTCCCTGCGTCCCTTCTTTTCACAGACGGTCTCTCCTCCGTCGAGATGCTGCTCACTAATGTCCAGGTATAGCCATGAAGAAATGCAACACACACACACACTCATACAAACAAGTTCAGCATCAATAGCATGTGGACATGTGTTGCAGGGCCTGCTAAAGGTGGCTTTGGAGAACGCCCGTCTGCAGGAGAAACAGCTTCAGCAGGAGAGGAGAGAGCTCAAGATGGAGCTGTACAGAGAGAGAGAGATGAGAGAGAGTCTAGAGAGACAGCTCACCTCTGAGCTACACAGTCGAGGTAAAATGTTGCGATCTAATACATATTGGAAAACTGAAAAAAAACAAAAACAGAAATCGTCTATTTCCATTTGATGTTTACACATGGATATTTTCTCTTCCAGCTACCATTCAGAGACGTCTGAAGAAGGAGAAGAAGGCAAAGAGGAGGAAAGAACCAAAGACTTAAACTACTTCAGTCTGTGTGCATTGAATTTATTTAATACACGAGTTTCACAATTTGAGTTAAATTACTGAAATAAATGAACTTTTCCACGACATTCTAATTTATTGAGATGCACCTGTATATATTGTGTATAAACACAAATGAAAGACATAATATATGGATCGCGAAAGAACACCATTTATATATAGTACACAATTTGTTTTTTGTTCTTTAACTTGTTTTTAATGTTTTTGAAAGACGTCTCTTATGCTCACCCAAGCTGCATTTATTTGATCGAAAATACAGTAAAAACTGTAATACTGTGAATTGTTTTATTGATTACATTTATTTTATTATTTTATTTTATTTTAATTATGTAGTGTTTTAAACATATTAAACATGTTAACAATATGTATGTTTCATTAACGTATATAAAAATGAAACTGAAATAGTATGACTGAACTAAATTAACTAAGATGAAATAAACTAAAATACATTTTCATGATCATTTCATTAACCATGAGTTAATTTTAGTTTTAATTTTTAATACACTAATATTCATTTTTTTTATGTTTTTGAAAGAAATCTCTTCTGCTCACCAAGGCTGCATTTATTTGATTAAATATACAGTTAAAAGACTGAAATACAAACAATAAAATGTAAAATAAAAACAATAAAATGTAGTTTATTCCTGTGATGGCAAAGCTGAATTTTCAGCATCATTACTTCAGTCTTCAGTGTCACATGATTTGTCAGAAATCATTCTAATATGCTCAATAAACATTTTTCTGAAAACGGTTGTTCTGCTTAATATTTTTGTGGAAGCTGTGATACATTTTTTTCAGAATTCCTTGATGAATAGAAAGTTCAGAAGCACAGCATTTATTTGAAATATCTATTTTTTGTAACTATGTAAAATATATATTTTTTTGTCTTTAATCAATGTAACACATTCTTGCTGAATGAAAGTATTAATCTCTGTTAAAAAATAAATAAAGTCTTTGTACAAAACATGCCTATCAACACACTCGTATACAGTGTGTATGTATGTGCACAGTTTCAGCTGTGGCTTATTCTGATTTGTTGTCTTGACCTCACTTCCCCTTCCCATCAGTCTTTCTCAGCAACACCGTGTGTCACTCGCCCGTGTCCTCCAAACAGATGAGATCATCGGCTCCCTCTGTCTCAGAGTGAAACCATTAGCAAATAAACACATAGATGGATCAAAAGACTGGGGACTAATTGCAAGGTTCCTGTGTAAGCAAAGCCACACCGCATGAATATTCCAGCGCCGCCCTTCCACCCGTTTATCTGTTTCTGCAGCTGGCCGTTCTCACTCTCTCCCCCTCCGAGAGACAGCTAAAGCTACATGATAAATTACTTGAATTACACCTTGTTTTAATTTTATTAAAATGACTCCCTAACGTCGAGAAAATCTGCTACACGTTGGCACAGCACTGGACTGGAGGTGTTCATTTACAGTCTAATGTCTTTTTTCCATGATGTGCAAAAATTGACTATTTTAGAGAAAAGGGGCATTTGAAATTCCATAATATTTTAGAAATATAAATATTTATTTATTTTTATTATTATCTATTTCTTATATTTTAATTATGTAGTTTTTAAACATGCTAGGCCCACCTTTTTTTTATTAACTTAAATCAAAATACATTTTCATGACTCTAAACTTAATAAAAAATAAACATGAGTTAATTTTATTTTTAATAATTTTTTTTCCATTCAAAAGTTTGGGGTTGGTTAAATTTTTGAATGTTTTTGAAACAAGTCTCTTATGCTCACCAAGGCTCAGTGTTGCCACGTCCGCGGTTTTCACGCAGAATTGGGCTACTTTAACACTGTTGCCGGGGATTGTTTTTCATGTCTGCGGGTTGAAGTGACCCCAATAATGCGATATTAATCCCCTGAAATGCGAATTGTCCCGGGGAACCCCACCAAAAAACATGTATTTTAACCCCCGGAATGCGATTTTTAAGGGGGGACCCACCTCGAAATGCGATTGGGCTAGTTTTGAGTAGCAATTGGGTGGGTTTTGTTGTGAAAACCTGGCAACCCTGCCAAGGCTGTACATATTTGATTAAAAATACAGTAAAACAGTAATATTGTCAAATATTATTTTAATATATTATAAATCGTAATTAATTCCTGTGATGGAAAAGCTGAATTTTCAGCAGCCATTACTCCAGTCTTCAGTAATTTGTGGAAACCATCATCCATTTCTTTTCAGGATTATTTGATGACTAGAAAGTTCAAAAGAACAGCATTTATTTGAAATGAATACATTTGTCTTTACTGTCACTTTTGTTCAATTTAATGCATCCTTACTGAATAAAAGTATTAATTTATTTTACAAACAACAATCAATCAATCAATCAATATCTTACTGACCCCAAACTTTTATAAAATGTAAAACCTTCAAAACCTTTATTAAATATGAAAGTCCCATTAGATGGCCCAGAGAAGTTTAACACTATTACACATATTTAAATAATTGTTGAATTAATATTGAAACAGTTGTCAAGGTTTCATTCTTTTATTTTTATATTTATCAGTCTTTAAATTTACAGTAGATGGGTAAAAAAAAAAATCCCAGACTAATGTAATTTCAACCTCAAACCTTCCTCTTGTTTTTCTTTCTTACAGAAAGCAGAACATACACAAAAAATCCAATAATGTACTAAGAAGAGGTGGATAAGGATGCTCTCCACATCACACACTTTCCGAATGCTGAAGAGAGGACTTCAAGGTTTTATGCTGTGAGCTGCATTGGAGAAGATCTTCTCCTTGACCCAATCGAATGCTCCATCCACACAACATTCCAGAATCCTCGACTGTTGTTTTATCTACATACATTGTGCTTAATTCCTTGTTTAAGCTCTGTGGAGAGCACTGTTGGTGTACTGTTACTTGTTTTGAAGCAGCGTTTGGAAGCAACTGGACGCTGTTTTGGCATTATCCCTTCAGGACAGTGACCTTCAGTATAATGCCCTCAGGACAGGCTGAGGAAAATGTAAAAAAAGGAGGAAAAGAGATGCATCTGGCTTGTGTTTCATACTTGTTTAAAGACTCTAAAGAGTGTGGAATCTTACATTTCATTGCTTTTCTCGTGTATGTCCATCTTCTGGTTCTACAGTCTATTTATCTCTCTTTGTAGGTCAGTTTAGCTTCTTAATACTGTTTAAAATGTTCACCTGTTCTTCAGTTTGAGCAACCTTATGTGGGAGTTTTCTTTGTAAGACCTTGCGTTATTTTATTGGCTTTCAGATGGAAAAACTACTGAATGTTTTTTGGAATCTTTCCCTCATTATTCTAAGGAGAACCTGTGGATATTGTAGATGTGGTTTCATGTTCTCAAGCATTTACAGCGATTTGATTCAAATCAGTTAAAACTAGACACTAAGGCCGCAGAGGATATTTTCTTATGCATTTGGCATTTTCCCCACCACACGAGTCTTTATTTAGTCTGTGAGTTACTTAAAGAGGAAAACAGACTTCCCACAGAACAGAATTCCCTGCTGGTGTTGTCAGGATGAGCCATCCATCCTATAGGCATTCGAATGCTAAATGATGTCTTGAAAGGTCTAGATCGATGTCTGTCACCATTTTGTGCACCAGAATGAACCGACAACACAAATAAACAAAGCGATGCTCATGTCACCGGTGTCACCTTGTCGTCAATAGCGTTCCTGATGAAGCTAAAGCCATCAAACAATCCTATTGATTCAGGTCATGCAAATGAGACCCCATTAGTGCTTAAATGCCTCTGCTGCTACATATCGGCCTTTATTGACACGTATCAAAGTCCTCATTAACATTCCGTTTGTGGTCTTCTCGTGGCCAGACACAAGCTAAGTATTGTTCCATACTGATATTTCTAGTCTACAACAGCACTCCAACAGCTCCAGCTGTATGATATCCAAACAACTGTACTGTAACACGGATTTGTAATATTTTTCTTTTGCATGCTTTAGGAACATTACCCGAGACCATAAATCTGTGGGGACAATAAATAGATTTGAAAACAATTTACTCTGATTTGGAATTGCTCCCTAAAAATGGGGAATGACCATTTGGGAACGTGGGAAATGTGTGGTTCCAAAACTACAGCTAGCAAAAGATAGGAGCAGAAGATAAACATATGTGTTTAGGATACAGAAATGGCATCTGTTTTGCTATGATTGTTTTGTGAGAAATATATCAGTACTTGTAAACTTGAAGAGGACTGTTGTGTTTGTTTGTGTATTCAGTTCAGTTCAACATCCTGGAAAATATATTATTTTAGCTGTACACAAGTTTTGAGTCTCTGCGTTAAAGAAACTGCATACAGGATATTGTGTGAGCATTAACTGAGCAGACTGGGAAACAAAACAAAAAAACAAGTGAAACCTCAAGAATCAAGAACAAGGGCCAATACATTGAAAAAAAAAAAATTCACTCAAATTATTACAAAGAAACGGCTTGCAACAGTGAATTAAACATTAAAGGGGTCATCGGATGCTCATTTTGCACAAGATGATATGATTCTTTAGGGTCTTAATTAAAAGTCTATAACATACTTTGGTTAACATTTCTCAATGTTAGTGTAAAAAACACCTTTTTAAACCTGTCAAAATCAGCTCTGTTTTTATCAAGCCATTATAGTCCATGTTGCTTTAAATGTTAATGAGCTCTGCTGGCCCCGCCCCTCTCTTCCGAGCTGCTCTCAGAGAGACTGTTTACTTTAGCCGCATTCATCGTGAAATTTGCTAATTAACGCCTTATTAGGAAAGGTGATTTGCAAAGATTCATAAAAAACCCTTATACTCACTTCTTCTGTAGATGAGGCTGGATCACGAATGATTCGAGCGAACATAGATGCATTTAGGCTGATCGGGAGTGGCGCATTCACTTCAAAGCAAAGTAACATTAATCCTCTGTGTCTTCAGCAGCTCAGATGTCGGGAGTAAATGACGATTGCTATATTCATTATTACATCAAACAATAAAGCACCTCAATCGCTTAATCGG